TTTTCTTGGGTTTCATTGTTTCTTCCAGGATGTTCATGTTCATGAGTCCAAAATTGAAGCAATTAAAACTTGGCCACAACCCACTAATTTGCAACAAGTGCATAGCCTCCTTGGTCTAGCAGATTTTTATCGTTGCTTTGTGAAAGACTTTAGCACTATTGCTGCACCGTTACATGCCTTGAGTAAGAAAAATGCACCCTTTGTTTGGGGACCCTTGCAATCTACCACATTTGATGAGCTCAAATCCTTACTTACACATGCTCTGATTCTTGCTTTGCCTAATTTCGACTAAACTTTTGAGGTCCATTGTGATGCTAGTGGTAATGGAATTGGTGGAGTTTTGATGCAAGAAAAGCAACCCATTGCATACTTTAGTGAAAAACTTTCTGGTCCTCAACTTAACTATCCCATCTATGGCAAAGAATTGTATGCCTTAGTGCGTGTATTGCATACTTGGGAGCATTATCTTCGCCCACATGAATTTATCATACATACCGATCATGAAACACTTAAGTACCTTAAAGGCCAAACCAAGTTGAATAAACAGCATGCTAAATGGAGTGAATTGATTGAATCTTTCCCTTATGCATCAAGTACATTAAGGGCAAAGAAAATGTTGTGGCGGATGCTCTTTCCCGCAAATGGATGTTAGTTACTCAACTTGAATTCAATGTTGTTGGATTCGAGCATATCAAAGACTTGTATGAGCACAATGCTACTTTTTCTACTCCTTATGCTAAGTGTGTGACGCACACATCTTGGGAACGATATTATACCAAAAATGGTTATCTAATTAGAGCTAACAAACTATGCATCCCTGAGTCTTCTCTTCGTTTGTTACTTTTGCAAGAGGTTAATGGAGGAGGACTCATGGGACATTTTGGACGCGACAAGACTTTTGCCACGCTCTCCAAGAACTATTGTTGGCCCAAGATGTTACGCAACGTCTAACACTTCACCAACTAGTTCTCTAAATGCCGCAAAGCTAAGTCAAAAGCTCAATCCCATGGTTTACATATGCCACTTCCTATTCCACATCAACCATGGGAAGATATTAGCATGGATTTTGTGCTTGGATTACCTCGGACTCAAAATGGCAAGGATTCTGTATTTGTTGTTGTGGACCGATTCTCTAAAATGGCTCATTTCATCCCATGCAATAAGATAGACGATGCTTCACATGTTGCAAATCTTTTTTGTAGGGAAATCTTGAAGTTACATGGAGTTCCAAAGACAATTGTGTCAGACCGAGACGTCAAGTTCCTAAGCTACTTTTGGACGACGCTATGCGCCAAGATCGGCATTAAGCTACTATTCTCCACCGCCTATCACCCTCAAACCGATGGCCAAACGGAAGTCACCAACCAGACGCTCTCCACTCTCCTATGTGTGTTGATCAAGAAGAACATCAAGGAGTGGGAGGAGTGCTTACCGATTGCCGAGTATGCCTACAACCTCGCAAGACACTCTACTACCGGCAAGTCCCCCTTCAAGGTTGTCTACGGCTTCAACCCTTTGTCGCCCTTGGACATCCTTCCTCTACCGCTCCAAGAACGAGCAAACATGGATGCTAGAGCAAGAGCCACCTACCTCAAGAAGATGCATGAAGAAACAAGGTCCATGATTGAGCGTCAAGTACACAGCCTCGCCACCAAGGTCAACATCAGCAACTCACTAATGGTGTTCCAACCGGGCGACCTTGTATGGGTACATCTCCGCAATGACCGCTTCCCCAAGAAGCACAAATCCAAGCTACTTCCGAGAGCCGATGGACCCTTGAAGGTGCTCGCACGCTACAATGAAAACGCCTACAAGATCGACATTCCACGTGACAAGTACAACGTAGTGACATCTTTAACGTCAAGGACGTGTCCCAATACCATGGTGACGAAGATCACGATCCGCGGACAGATCTGTCCCAAGGGGGGGGCATGATGCAGAGCATCACTCAACCATTCCCACGGACATTACGTCACCACCACAAGCACGAGGAGGACCAATGACGAGAGCTCACGCACGTGCCATCAAAACTAAGGTTAACTCCTTCCTCTTCGAACTCCATTCGAATTCACACGAGAGTTGGGTCCTACCTCAAACGGAAGTGTTATGCACTCTTAGGTACCAAGAAGAATATCGTGAAGAGGCAAGGACGGAGGTACAAGCAACTATGGAAGAGGAAGGGAAAGAAGGGCACGAAGACGTGGAGGCACTAGACACCCCGGGTGTCCGACCTCTAGCTGGAAGCTGGCCCTGGACGTCCTGGGTGCCCGGCCACCCAGCCTGGGAGCTGCACTATCGCCTTGGGTGCCCGAGCCGCTACCCCCGGGTGCCCGGCCCTCCCCCGCCTAGGAGCTGGAGATGCCCCCTAGGTGCTTGGGCCACCACCCCCGGGTGCCCGGCCCCGCCAGCCGCTAAGGGCGCTGGCCCTCTCACCCGTACGGGTGCCCGGGCTGCCAACCCCCTCCTTGGCGCCTGCCTCTGACCAATCCGGGTGCCTGGACCCCTTTACCCCGGGTGTGCCTGCGTGCGCTATGGGCATTTGACCCTTGTACCCCAGTTTTTCCCCAATTTTGCCCCTAGCCTATAAGTACTCTTCTCCTAGTTCATTGTTAGGGGGGAGCAAAGTATTTGATAGACATTAGAGAGCTTTGCTCCTTGTATTCCCTCCTCTTGGAGATCAAGACCCCTCTTTGGGAAGAATCCTTGTGGATTATCAATGCCTCCTCTTGGAGAAGATCAACATCAAGACCTCATCTCCTTGGAGTGGGAAGAACTTTACCCCAGTGCTATTTTCCTTGAATTGTTCTTGTATGCTTGTGGATATCATGTATGCTACTCTAGTGGATGTGTTATCTGGGTTTGTTTGAGTGATTCTTCTCCTTGTGTTCTTGTGTGTTCATCATCCCCCCCCCCTCCAAGTGTGAAAAGATCCCACCTAGGGTTTCACCCTACAACACTTCTCCTATGCTTTGAGTCCATGTCCGGCCATAAGATCAATTTTGATAAGAGTGAGGCTGTGATGATGGGCTATTTGGTCGTCGATCAGCAGCGGATTGTGGACAGCCTTAATTGCAAGTTGTATCCCTTCCCCATCGCACAACTGAGGATGTCGCTTTCTAACTCGAGGATCCTGCTTGTTGGGGATTTTGACCCACTTGTCGGACGGGTTGTATCTCGTCTCCCATGGTGCAAAAGATTTACTTTCAAAGGGAGTAAATCCATGCTTATAAATTCATGTCTCTCTAGCCTTCCCATGTATATATGATGGGGTTGGATATATTGTCAGATGATGTGCATAGCTCCTTTGACAAAGACTATTGCTCTTCTTTTGACAACAATAGATGGACGCCAAAAATACCATATGATCAAGTGGGCAGATATCTGCTTGCCCAAGGACCAAGGGCCAGGGGGTCTAGGTATTCTCGCGTCCCACCGCACGAATATGGCCCTTATGTTGAGATGGATTTGGCGGATCTTCAGGGAGGATGGGGGCTTGTGGCTGCAGCTTATTAAAGCGAAGTATCTACATGACCTCCCTCTTCTTGCTTGTGAATGCAGGGAGGGGTCTCAATTATGAAAGTCGGTTCACTCTATCAAGCATGATACACGACTTGCATTTCAGCCACATCTGGAAAACCTGAATTCAAATCCACATTTCTCGTTTCAAAGCCAGCCTCGTGACGCTTGTTGGTACGTGTTCACTATCTGCTTTCTAGGAGTTATTTACCCAAAACAACCACACTTGAGGCTAGGGTAACAACTTATATTACATTCGAGGCAAGGCACAAGGAACCACCAATTTTGTGCCTAACTACTAACGAAGAGCACTGATTGTCTGATTTGCTCGTAGTAACAGGGAAACCGACAGGTTGGGCCCACTCGCCGGGCCAATGTGGCAAAGACTAAATGTGAAACAAACATTGACCGAATGAGGTGGCACAACAAATGTGGGTCTCACCTCTCAATGACTCGGTGGTTATCATTCTCCCGTCTCTATTTGACCGGAGCATGGAGGTGACGGCATCGGCGTCCTCTTCCCTGTAGCTTCACGACGAGCTCCTCCTGCCATGTGGCTTGCTCATCTCCGCCACCGAGCCATTAGAGGGAGCCATGGACGTCCTTGGGCCGACGCCGGTGCATCTGATGGAGACGACATTAGGCGTGTGCGGCCTCCTTCCTCAGACCCGATGATGAGCGCGACTCCCCGTGGCGTGGCCCCGCACGCAGTCTGGTGGCAAACTCAGCCACTAGCAGGCGTGCACGGGCGGCCTCTTTCTGCCCGGCCTCGGCGTGGCGGCGCTGCCAGATCCAGGAGAAGCGTGGGAGGCAGGGCACCTGGGAGGTAGGTCGAGGCGCATGGGTGGTAGGGGTGTGGCGCCACCAGTGATGAAGGACGCATAAAGGCGTTGGGTTTTTCCAGCGGATCTAGGAGAAGGAAGGAAGGTAGGCAAGCGCGGGCGGTTTCTATCTGCCACGGCCTCGGCGTGGCGGCGCTGGGATCCCGCCGGATCCAGGAGAAACAGGCGAGGTAGGGCCGCTGGGAAGGCACGCAGTGGTGCCTCGAATATGGCTCTGTGTTAGAAACCGGCGCAGAACCCTGCCTAAAATATGGTACTAAGTTGTTATCCTAACCTCAAGTGTGGTGGTTCTAGGTAAACAACTCGCTTTTTAGTTCCAAAATTTGTGCTCTTTAATCTTGAAGGGTAAGAACCGTTTCCACCAGATAATATATCAGCCATAATATCTTTAACCCCTTCAACACATAGTGCTAATCGCCACAGACTATGAGATTGCAAGAAATTGGAACCACAAACTCGTTTACAGCAGCTAGTTCGTGTATCATACCACAGTTCCCTGTACAATTGTTTCCATTTCCTTCCCAAATGTTTCAGTTTGAATACAGGAAACACAAGCACCGGAGTACATCCATTCCACACCCAAACCAAGACAGCAGAAGGGTGAAGAACTTCAGAAGAAGAAAAGCACTTATGTATGCACGCTTAATTAGGCGTCAGTGATAACACGGTTGCAGTGTTCTTCGGGGGGCACAGCGTGGATAGGGCATCAGGAGTGGACGGGTACGAGATCGAGATCAGCTTCGATCTGCACTTCGCCGCCCCATCGTCGAGATATGCGTTTGCCCCAGGGGTGGGGCTTGGTGGGTTGGCCTTGGGGTTCAGGAGCGAAGTCTCAGGGAGGGACTGAGAGATTGCGATTAGCGACCGGCGAACAGTTTCCCGAGTGAACTCAGCTGCTGCTGCTGCTGCTGCAGGCGAGGCCATCAACCGAAGTACTAAATGCTGCATTTCAAGTGTAAAACGAAGGATGCTTGAGATCAGACTCACAAGTTGAAGAATTTTCAAGAAATGAAAGAACCGAGAAACAAGGGCAGATTCATCAGCTTATTTTATTTCAAGGTATATGATCAAGAATCCGAACAAATTCACCAGTATGTAACTTTGGAAAGGAACACCTAAATCTGCATTCTGGTGTGCTAATTTAGTAGTAGTAAACCACAACAAGCACTAGCTAAATAGATAACAGTTATACTTATTAACCCTGGTGCTTGATCCACCTGGACCCTGAACAATTAAACTTGAATGCTAACCTGGAATTTGAAAAATCATTAAACTTGAAACATATCCCAGTTTTTTTAATATTGTTTTTGCATTTTTTTAGCGTTTAAAAAATGCAAAAAAAAAAATCATAGGCATTAGTAATGTTATGAAATACTCCCTCCGTCCTGTAGTACAAAGTTGAGTCACTTATTTTAGGACGGAGGGAAAATCGGAAAAATATCGTTAAAACAGTGGCTCTTTATGTCCAGCGAAAAATGACAGGAACACTTCATTTATCTCTTGTAACAATTAATCATATTCACTGATGAAAATTTGCCGGTCGTAACATTATATCAGTCCCCACTCCCATGAGTTTCGGATCAAGCACCATAGTTTAAGGTTTAGGGGTATTTGAAATGTAACTTAGATGTTTATTTTCCTACTCCATCCATCCCAAAGTTAGTAGTACAAAGTTGAGACACTTATTTTGGGACAGAGAGAGTAATATTTAGCAGGGTCACCACTCATCAAATTTGCACCCACGCTGCATGCTGAGAATGAACCATTAATCATGTCACGTTTATCAAATGAAAAACCTCCTACAGTGGCAGACCAACTAACCTGGAAAACGGCTGGAAATATGGTACAAGGGCAGGAAATGACCAGACACTTGCGGCCCCTAAGGCTGCGCTTGGATTGCCGTTTTCCAGCCATCTACACGTGTAAAGTATACCCCCGTAAAAATAAAACGGACGAGCTACTTGGATCGTCGTTTTTGCGTCGTAACTTTTACACCGGTTTCACTTTACACTTGGATATCGTTGGTATTCCATCGGTTTGCAAAACACTGCTATGTCCGTCGTTTTCCCTAGTCGCTGGCATTCCGCCATTCTTGCTCGGTCGTGATTGACTAGGTAGCCACAACCGAGGTAAGTGCCGCAACGGCTCAACCGGAGCACGCCGAGGCCACCGCCACCGCTCGCCGGAGCGCCGCCGTAGTTCCGCGGAGACACCATCATCACCAGCGCAGTCGCCTCCTGCAGTCCTGCCGCATCAGCTTCACCACCACGGCCCGCCATTGACGCCGAGTGTCCGCAGCCACCACCATGGGTGCTTGCGCGCCGCCGAGCTTCGAGTCGACGGTGCCGCAGCGTTCGCGCCGCTGCCGGAGCGCGTGCGCTCGCCGCCACTGCAACCAAACACCGCTGCAGCACCCAACGTCCGCCTCCACCACCACCGGTCCACGGCGTCCCCGCTGCCGCCGGATTGCCTTCGCCACTGCAGCAGGATCCTGCGTCCGCTGTGGCCGCGCTGTGACGACGCCTGGCGCTCATTCTTCTGGTAGCCAACGGCATAGCGCACGGGAGAGACTCTCCGAAACAAGCAAAAATCCGACGAACCAAGCGCAGCATATACATGTGGGAATATCCGGTTGTATTTTACAAATCTCCTGTAATATACAAGGGTATTCATATACGGATGTAAAACTTCTACAGGGATTCCAAGCGGGGCCTAAGTTTGCTAGAAGAACCAACCTCTAGCCTCGTTAGTTCCTTTGATGGATCTCCAACGAAGCTAGTGGTTGTTTCTTCCAACAACCAACCCCCCCAAGGTAGAGAGATTTGCCTTGCTTTTATACGTACCAGGAGAATAGATCATGCTTTGTTTGATTTGTTTACTTAATTATAGACAAAAAGAAGTGGAAAACCCGTGTTTCGACAGCAGCCGTCCATCGAACAGAGCCAATAATAGCAAAGACGTGACACCCGGTGTGTTCACCTAATTTTGGATCAACGGCACAGCCTAAACTTAGCCTTCCACACGCAGCTAAAGCAAAAGATACCACGAGTTCCACACTTGACAGACTAACAGAATCTCTAGACCTCTACCGGCCACGCCGATTCCGTGATTCATGGTGCAGACGAGACCAAACTTTCTGTAACAGAACTGAAAAGCTAGTCATAATTTCATCAACTGCGCAAAGAACAAAGCCACTGATCTCTGCTCCATAACATGATCTGACACAAGGAAACAACCGGAGATTGCTAACCCTCACGGCATGATCGAACAGCTCCCCGACTCCTCCGCGCACAGTAATTCTAACCTAAAGCATGGCGTCTCGCCAAGAAAGCGATGAATGAACAACACCCACCCCCACCCACCACCAAAGCAGCAAGCCCGCGGAATCCCAACTTCGCCGCGGCGTTTGATCGAGACGGCGGCGATGAACGAACACAGATCGAGCGAAGAGAGGATCCGTATATACTGGGGCTTTGGAGAAGGAACTCACCGGAGACGAGCAGAGGAGGAGACCTGGGGGGGACGGAGAGGCGAAGAGAGATCGGGCAATAGTCCAAGACACACGCACCCACGCTCCGTTGACGTTTTCTCCAATATACCACCTGATCTCGCGGGCGGCGTATCCTCCCTCGTGGCGGACCCCGCCCGGCTCACGCCTGTCCGCAGGTTCCGAGATGGACGGCCAGCGATCGGCGCCGATCTTTACGCCGCCCGTCCTCTCGCTGTCTTACCGGATAGGGATTGGCACGCTGATTGCGAGATTAATCGTATCCAATTCTACCGTCTTCCATCTACTACCGCTCGAAGGTTTATATCCGATTCTACCGCTCGAAGGACTTGAATTCCAAGTTGCACCGGGTGACGCCCTCGCGCTCGCTGGATGGCAAGTGGGCCCCGACTGGCCGTGTGCCTTGGTGCTGGTAAAACTGTCGGTGAGTTCGTTTCCGTGCGTAGGTTTCGAGGCCGGTCTGGTCGGCCCGACAGACAGCCGTGTAGGCAAGCACTAGGGCGGTCGTCGTCACCTGCACCCATGTGTCGGCGTCCTATTGGAGGATCGCTATTCCGATGTTGACATGGGCACATTCTCGTGAGAAGTGCATCGACGGTTGGCACAGCCTTGGGATTAGTAGCGGCCACACGAACGCGGCTAATCTGCATCCGAGCTCATATGCAACAGTAAAATCAAAATAAAATTTAAAAAATTTCAATTTTTTTTGAGAGAAACATTGACAAAAGTTCTAAGTGCCTACAAAAATTCGTCATGAAATCACATTCCTAGAAGGCGTGGCAAAAAAAAAAAAATAATACTCTGAAAAAGCTACTTTCAAACGCATTTTGAAGCACTGAATTTGTTTTTTCTTGCCACGCCTTACAGGATTGTGATTTCATGATGAATTTTTGCAGGCACTTAGAACTTTTGTCAATGTTTCTCTCAAAAAAAATTGGAATTTTTTAAACTTTTTTCGATTTTTTTTCGATTTTACTGTTCATGCGGGAGCATATGAGCTCGGGTGCAGAATGGACTTTTCGCGGCCACACGTGCTACTTGGAGTATAGGACCCTTGGCGGCAAAATTTCGTGTTTTGACCCTTTTTGGTAACAATTTAAGGATCTGACCCCCTTCTGGAATTATTTCGGGATTTAACCCTTTTGCCTATCGCCAGAGGCTATGGCGGTAGGATTGCACCGCCTACCGTCAAGGGCCCTGACGGTAGGCCCCTGGACGGCGACCGGAGGTCGTTTGCACTTGTTGATGTGGAAAAGGGCCTACCTCCAGGGGTCATGGCGGTAGGGTACTGAAGCATACCGCTACCACCTCTGGCGGTAGGGTCATGTGTGGTGGATAAGGTGGGGAGGGGCTGGATATTTCCTTCCCCCTCAACCACTCATTCAGTTCACTCTACTCACCGAGCTCAAGTCTCCCCCCCTCCTCTCTCTCTCTCTCTTTGAAGCACAAGAGCCTCTCAAATCTCTCTCATTTGTTTCAGATTTCTCCGGTGGATTCTTGCCATTTTCATCACCCAAGGTAGCTCTCTCATTTCCCCTCATTTTGATTGGTTGATATCTTTGTTTAGCTTGCGCTCATTTGGTTGCAAACCCTATATCATGTGGTCAAATCAATTCATATGATCCATTTAGGGTTATGTTTGTGATTTCCTTATGTATGATGTGCTTAGAATTTCTTGTAGAATAGTTTGTGTACCTAGATCTAGTGCTAGTATTAGTGTACATAATTGGGGTTGGGTTAGGCTTAAGAAAGCAATTAAACCTAAGTTTACTTTAATAGCAACTTCTCAAAATGTAGGATGGCACCGTTCGTTTTCTTTGAAGCTTCTGTTGAGGCGGCGGCGAACCGTGAACACGAATTGATTGAGGAAAAGATGAACTTGTGGGTGAAAGCCATTGATGCGTTGAATGCGGAGTGTAGGGCCTTTTCACATTATTATTTCAATAATGATTGTTCAGGAAATTTTATCAAAAAAAGGAGAGGCAGATGAAGAAGCTCAAGACGGTGGAAAAAAATTATCGGCGTGATCTTGCAATGAAAATTGCATTGTGTGTGACAAGGGGAGAATATGTTGAGATAGACATGGGAAATCATGGTCAGGTCATTGATTGGTTAGTTCGGCAACCATTCTCGTCGGACGAGAAGCGGGCTTCTTGTTGGGCATGGGTCAAAGAAAGAAATGATGTTATTTGTTGCAACCCGGGACCATACGCCACATAGAATTGCATGAGGCTATGTAATCTTTGTCATTTGGATTGTAATGACATGTACCCTTTGCTTGGTCGTCATTTGAACTACTATGACTTGTACCCTTAACATTTAAACTCATTAAGAACTTGGTGTTGTATGCCATATCAAGTAACCAAGTGTTGTACTCCATTGAATTTATTTTGTGTTTTGTTGTATAAACCCGTATATTCATGTAGGATGGACATTCGAT